AAAAAGAAGATAAAAAATATGAACAGTAAAATGACAACAAACCCACAGTTATTAACAACTCAACCTAAAACAAAAACAAAAACAAACTAAGCAAACAGCTAGAACAGGAACAGAATCACGGAAATGGAGATCACATGGACAGTTATTATCAGTGGGGGAGTGGGTAGGAAGAGAGGGGAAAATGTACAGGGAATAAGTAGCATAAATGGTAGGCAGAAAATAGACAGGGGGACATTAAGAATAGTATAGGAAATGTAGAAGCCAAAGAACTTATATATATGACCCATGGATATGAACTAAAGTGTGGGGGGAGTGTAATGAGGGTTGGAGGGGAATAATGGGGGAAAATGGGACAACTGTAATAGCATAATCAATAAAATATATTTAAAAATAAATAAATATAACATTATACACCTCAATGCTATATATAATGTTCATACATAGGAAGATCCACTATCATTAAGATGACAATTCTCCCTAAATTAACTCATAAATTGAATGCAGTTCCAATTTTTAACATGCCCCGGTAAGGTTTTTGATGGAACATGGTAAGTTGATTCCAAAAGTCATAAAGAAGGGTCAAAAATGCCAATACAATTTTGAAGAAAAGTGAAGTGGAAGAGTTTTCTCAAGAAAATATAAAAATTACTTTAAAGCTAAATGATATTGCTTAGGGATAAACAGAAGAGAATAGAGAATCCCGGGGGCAGGCACATGGCGGGGGGGATGCACTCATATATGGCAAAGGTGCAATGATAAAACAGGGGAGGGGATAAATAAATACACACAGTGGGGAAAGAAGGAGCTGTCTTCAGAGACAAGGATGCTCCTGTGCAGAAGGGAGGGTACCCCCATACGAGGGTTTTTTATGACCTGCTTTAGGGGAGAATAGGGAGGTGAGAGAGTCCTATTGGCACTTGCCATTTCTCAAGTGCCTTTAGCTTAAAATGGTCAATGTGCCATATTTTGGAATAGCATGTTCTGAACCCTGTCAACTGATAGATACCGAGTTTAGGAGGATGATTCTTTCTGGGGGAGAGTGAGGGAAATGGCATTTTATGGGATCGAGTGAAGTCTTGGACATTTCTAAAATGGTGGGGGTTTTTTTTGGTAAAATGTGAATCGAATATGGCAAAATGTTAAGATTTCACAAAATTAAGTGGTAAGTACATGCATTATCATTATGCAGTATTTTTTCTATGCTCTGAATTCTTAAAATACAGGATCCCCCAGAAGTAACACCACTGAGTGTGTTTGGAGGGTATGTGAATGTCTTGTACCAGATGGACAGCAACTTGAACATTTCACCTCAAACATCTTATGGTGTGCTCAAGTGTGACATTGTTATGTTACAGAATTACATGCTTATGATTTTTGTAATAAAAGATTTGGTATAAATTACTAGCACATAAAAACAGGGTATTATTTGTGCCAGACCCTGTATTTTACAGCTTTTATTAGGAAGGAAAAAAGGAAAGAAGGAAGGAAGGAAGGAAGGAAGGAAGGAAGGAAGGAAGGAAGGAAGGAAGGAAGGAAGGGAAGGAAGGGAAGGAAGGGAAGGAAGGAAAATAAAGTTAAGCTGGCTGGCATGGCTCAGTGAATTGAATGCCTGCCTGCAAACCGGAGGGCTCACAATTAGATTCCCCAGTCATGGCACATGCCTGGGTTGCAAGCCAGGTCCCCACTCAGGAGACATGCAAGAAGCAACCACACGTTGATGTTTCTCTCCCTCCCTTCCTCTCTCTCTAAAAATAAATAAAATCTTTTAAAAAAATTAGAAGTTGTAAATATTACTCAAAATACTACCTTGGTTTATTTCAGTACTTCCAAAATACCAGATTGTTTTACTAGAGAAAAACAAATCACCCTTCTTTGGTTCACATGCCAAAACTGACAGTTTCAATTCTAATCGAAATGGTAAAATTACACTAAGGGAGAAGCCCAGCTTTTGGTCAATACAAACGCGCCCTCTGCTGGTCAAATCATGCCCTGTCACAGAGTTCGAAAAGGGATGAAGGAGAGTGAATGTCCAATGAGACAGCTTTTTCTGAGCCAGCCATGTTGAAAGAAACCCTCACAAAATCCCCCTTATCGTGAATATACTATAATCCGCTCCCACGTTCTATTAATACTACGTATTATTCAAGGCAAAATAAATTCCAAGATACCACCTCAATCAACTTCTCAGTTTAATGTTCGTTCAGGGATGACAAAAGAGAGCCCAAGATGGAAAGAGGCTCTGGGGTGGGGGCGGGGCAAAGAAGGGGGCACTGGACAATAACTGAACTCAGAAGAATAAGATAACTGCGTTGTTAAGGGAATGATGCTAGTAGGATAAGAGAACTTTTTCTTTTCAAAAAATTTTTAAGTATAAAATACTTTAAATAAAATTGAGGAGAAATAAATTAATTTGTGCAAGAATCTGTTGCTCAAAGAGATGAGAGAAAATGGGGATCCAATATTAGAGTATGACTTTCAAAAAGTTTTTTTTAGTTTTAGTTTTAGTTTTGTTTGGTGTTAACATCCATGAGACCTTAAGCTCCCTGAGCCCAGGGTGTTCATCCAGCCTACTCACTGTTCCCAGCACCTAACACAATGCCAGCATAGTAAGTATTTCATGATAAATGAAGGAAGGCATGATCATTTCCATAGACGGTAAACTGGTACAAATATTCTGGGGACAATTCAGCAGTAGATATTGTTGTTTAAATTCTGTATACATCCCTTAATACACATAGATGCAGACAAAAAGTCTTTTAATAATCAAAAGCATTCCTTTCAGAGATATACTATGCAGAGTGCTTCACAGTTATAAAAAATTGAAACAATCTGACTTTCAGAAGTTACATGTTTGGTTTTAGTCAATTATAGTACATCCAGATGATGAAATGCTATGCTGCTATTAAAATCATTTTTAATAATATTTATGATAGCATACATTCTAATAACATAAAAGTACATTAAAATTATATATACGCTGTATAATTTGTATATGTCCATGAAAGTAAATATGCCAAAATATTTGCACTAGTTTTATGAGGGTAGAGTGATCACGGGTGAGGTATTTTTTTGTTGTTGTTTGTTTTTACCAGGTGCCAGGACTGTTTTAGGCACTTTATTATATTAATTGTTAGGCACTTTAATTAATTTAGGCACTTTTGTATTAATACTATTGTATTAATTTAGGCACTTTATTGTATATTTTGTTAGGCTTTTAACAGCTTTATCAAGAGATGATTGACATACATAAATGGCACCTATTTAAATTGTACAGTTATATATTATTTGTTTAAATATTATGATTTCATTTTTCTGCAAAGATTTTAATGCAATCAACTTCACTCTTCTTAGAGTGAATGTACCATTGTATTAGTTCAAGGTATATAACATGATTTGATACATGTACATGTTATAAAATGATTACCACAATAGGTTTAGTTAATGTACATCAGCTCACACAGTTAACATATTTTTTTCTTCCATGGAGAACTTCTAAGATTTACTAGATAAGTTTTGATATATGTATGCACCCACAAAACCCTTACCATAATCAAGAATAAAACCTTCATCACTCCCAGACGTTTCCTCATGCTCTCCCCCTCCTGCCTCTCTCATCCCCAATGATCTGTTTTCTGTCACTATAGATTTGCTTACATTTTCTAGAATTTTATGTAAATGAAATCATACCATATGTACTCTTCTCTGTCTTAATTCTTTTACCACATAATTCATTTGAGATTCACCCCCATTGTTGAGTGTATTGATGCTTCATTCCTTCTCACTGCTGAGCAGTATTGCATTGTATGTATACACCAGCCTGTTTGTCTGTTCACCTGTTGTTGGACGTATGGTCTGTTTCAAGTTTTCAGCTATTAAAAAGGAAGCTTCTCTGCACATTTGTGACAAGTCTTTATATGAACATGTGCTTTCACTTCATAAAGAACTTAGAAGTATAATGGGTAGATGATATGGTATATATAATATGTAATTTTTTAAACTGTCAAACTATTTTCCTACGTTGTACCATTTACATTCCGACCAGCAGTGTATGAGAGTTCCAGTTCCTCACGTCCTTGTCAGCTCTTGTATAGTCAGTCTTTTTAATTTTTGTCATTCTAATAATTATGTGTTGGTGGCAGGGGTCTTCTTTATGAGGTTTTTTTGTGTTTTCCAAATTTTCTGCAATATACCTTCTGTAATTTAAAAATTGTTTAAATTAACTAAGATAAAAAGTGGCCTAGTGCAATGTGAAATCTTAGTCTGGAGATTCTTCTCAAAGAGCTCCCAGTGCGGTCTCAGAGGCCCCAGCACAGAGGGCCAACTGTGTGACCTGCCTTCCTCATAGGACAACAAGTTTTTTAGATCAATTTTCTTTCAATGTAATAACCACACTGGGGTTTTAAGAAAAATATAAACACACAAAAACCTTCCAATCTAACATATTTTTTCTATTTTCTCCTCCAGACCTTATTCATCTAAAAATATATTTTGCAGAATTCTAACATACTATTCTATAGTTTACACTTTTATTTGTCGTTATATCATATTTTCCATATTGCTTATTTATCTTGTAACCATAAATTTAAGTGTCAAATTAATGCATCACAATTACTTTCCTAATCTTCCATTGTTGGACCGTTTTAATTTGCTACTATTAATAATAATTTTGTAATAAATAAGTTGGTACAAAAAGCTATTTCTTCCTTTGAGCTATGTCCTTATGATAAATATCCAGGAGTGAGAATCCTAATCAAAGACCAGACATTTTTCTGGTTCTTGATACATACTGTCAAATCGCTTTCCCAAAGGGTCTTACTAATTTTAATGTCATTTGCCACGTGCCAGCAGTGATACCTGCAGATTTGCTAATTTCCTGGGTATAACATATCTCACTGTTTTCATTTGCATGCTGTTGAAGACTCACCAGGGAGACATTTTCCCTGGTAGCATTTGGGATCATGGACTGTTGTCCTGATGAAGGATGCTCTCTGTTTTCACAGACCCAGAGCTGAGGAATGTGACCCTGGACCCTCTCAGCACTTCCTGGGCTGAGCACATGCAGAGGCCTGAGGCAGATGCTGTCCAAAAGGCGTAAGCATTCAAAGTTGTAATATGTGAACTTCCTTTTTATTTTGTTTATCCTTGTTTTTAATTCATTTCATTTCTGTGTTTTCTGAAAAGTCTCAACCAATAGTATACTCTGACAGCTAGAATTAAACTGCTATCTAAAAAACACAGATTCTTGGGGAGGACTGTATGGTGGTGTGTTTCCTATTTGAAGCATACTTTTTGTGGGTGGGTGATGAGTGAAGTTTAACTCCAACAGTGTGGAAGCAGCTTTCTCCATTTGTCTATTTAACTGACATCTACAGATATGCCTCAAAAGCTAAGGTCTGTCAGTTCAACATAGGTTTCTCCTCTCAGCATTCACTCTGCTCTAGCTGAAGTCAAAGAAATAACACTAATAGTACTCATACTAATTGCTAACATATATTAAGTGCTTCCTTTTTTCTCCTCCTCCATGTAGAACTATAACCTACCGTGACCTTCCATGAACTTCAGAACCTACCCTCACCTGCCTTGTAGCATAGGGATTCCCTCCTGAATCCCCCCAAAAGGCTTTGTGTTCCCTAGTAACTAAGGGAAAATGGCACTTGGATGGTGAGGCAACTATCTGAAGAATCCCATTTTCTAACTTTTATACATCATCTTTTTCCACAATAGATTTAAACCACATACAATAAACCGTCACCAAAAAGAGAGAGCCCTGACCAGCATGACTCAGTTGGTCAGGTGTCATTCCACAAAGCAAAAGGTCAAGGGTTTGATCCCTGGTCAGGGCACATGCCTAGGTTATAGGTTCAGTCCCTGGTGAGGGAGTGGACGAGAGGCAACTGATTGACGTTTCTCTCCCTCTTTTTCTTCCTCCTTTCCCCCTCTCTAAAACTAAATTAGTTTATTAATTTAAAAAGAGAGAGATCAAAAAAATTTTAATTGGAAGGAAACAAAAAAACTACACCAATACTCCACAGAAGTCATTACAGACATAGTAATTAAAGAACAGACTTCCAGCCCTGGCTGGTGTGGCTCAGTAGATTGAGCACTGGCCTGTGAACTGAATGGTTTCTGGTTCAACTCCCAGCCAGGGCACATGCCTGGGTTGCAGGCCACTTCCCTGCTAGGGGGACTTGTGAGAGGCCATCGATATGTCTCACACACTGATGTTTCTCTACCTCTCTCCCTCCCTGCCCCCTCTCTAAAAGTAAATAAATAAAATCTTTAAAAAGAAAAAAAGAACAGACTTTCAGACTTGATACAGAGATTCCTGAATGTGAAAGGGGGAAAAAAAGCAGCATGGTCAGGTTTGTGGTTCTCATTTACAGCATACCTGTTCCTCAGGGGAAATAAATGTTTTCCTAGCACTAAATTCTAAAGGATAGTTCTTCTCTGGGTTTTTATAGAGTGACATTGAATGATTTAAAGACTCATATATTTACAGGAAATTCCATTTACCTCATTTGACAAATATTTCTCAAGTTTCTATAGAAGGTCCTGTGCTAGCAGAGCACAGTAAATACGATACCGATGGAGCTAAAAAACACAAAACACCCCAAACCAGGCCTGGCACACAGCAACTGTAGCTGCTGCTGTTACTGAAATCCATGTGGCTGTTTCTTAGGGACCTCTGCACACAGAGGAAGTAAGTCAGTTATCCTGAAGGCACACTGCCAGTGACAGCAATTCTACCAGGAATCAAACTGACACAGCACAGGACATTTGGGTGGCTGAATTTGATCAAGAATAGAATTCAGAGGGCATAAAAGAATAGATGGATAGTTGCATCTTCTTAGACAATCTTTCTTAAAGGTCACCTTATTTTTCAGCTATGCCTTTGATAAAAGAAGTTTCAGTTAGATAATCCTATGTCATTCAGTTGAAAGCATAAACATGCAATCCCAAGAAGCAATCTATTTTTCCTGTTACCTAAGTTTTAGAATTTAGCCTGAGACAACCTCAAAAGGGAAGACCAAACTTTCTCATCCTCTTTGTTCAGAAAGAGAGGGTTGACCAAGTATGTGAAATGTCCACCAATTGTGTAAAATGACTTGAGTGTGTGAAATATCAGAGAACAGACACTCAGACAATGTTCACTTTCCCTCTTTCTTGTCCACCTGAGTTGTCTCTTTAGTTTGTCTTGTTGGATTGCTTTTTTCAAAGGGGCAAAGATTATGATGTACACCATCAGCACAAAGGACTCCCAGAACCTGGACCTGAGTCCCCAGAGAGGTTGGGTTCTGTAAACACATCTCTTCTTCCAAAAGAAAGAGGAGGGAAGACTGAACCAAGAGTGTCCAAGCAGGAAACACCAGGCAACATCAGTCACGTGAGTGCCAACATCTAGGTACTTGGTCAAAGGGCCCTACCTGGATTGTGCTCCCACCAGAGCTACCAAGTACAGCTGTGTAGATTGCCTACTATACAAGGCACCTGACAAAGTGGGCAAGTCAGAGCTGAAATCCAGTCTGTGGCCTGTTCACCATGTCCTGCACCCCAGCATTGGGTTGCATCCCTCTAGAGGACGAGGTGCCCATTTCTAATTCTTACAAAGGTACTAAAAGGAAACTTCAGTTTTTCTACACTTACACCACTTCTGACACCAAACATCTAGAGGTTATTCCCACAACAACCAATCCTCCAACTCTCTGGACACCAAACAACTGTCCTACAATTCAATTCTGACACTAACTACCCAGAGTTAGGCCAGGCCCTACAGAGGATTCCCACCCCCCACTTCCCATCAAGTTTGATAATTTGCTGGAATGGCTCACAAAACCCAGGGAAACATTTACTTACTGATTTATTACAAAGTTTATGATAAAGGACACAAGTGAATGGCAGATGAAGAAATACACAGGGCAAAGTCCAAAGTGGTCCCAACCGCAGGACCTTCTGTCTCCACGGAGTTTGGGGTGCGTCACCCTCTCAGCATGTGGATATGCTAACCAGTCCAGAAGTCCTCTGAACTCCTCTGGTTGGAGTTTTTATGGAGGCTTCCTTATGCAGGCACAGTTGATTACATCATTGGTGAATGGCTATTAACTCAAACTCCAGCCCTTCTCTCCCTCTCTGAGGTTTTGAGTGCACAGTTGAAAGGTTCAGTCCTCTAATTACCTAGTTGGTTTCCATGGCAACCAGTCCCCCTTCCTCAGGAGCTTTCCAAAAGTCACCTCATTAACATAATCTCAGATGTTGTTGAAAGGACCCTGTTATGAATAACAAAACATACTGCCTTTATGCTCCATAAATTACAAGGGTTTTAGGAGCTTTGTGCCAGGGACTGAAGATGGAAGACCAAATGTCTATTTCTTTATTATGTCACAATATCACAGGTACGGAGTGGATAGCCATGACCCTGCTCTGCCATCCCCTTTTAGAGGGAACCTGCATGTTGTCCCAGCCCACAGGGAAGGTGAGGCCTGACATGGCTGCAGTCATCTGCTTATGGTTTCGAAAGTTAGCAAATGATGCAGCAGTGAATAAAGCTGGCATTGATTTAAACTACTTAAGCATTAATCGTGGCAACAGCAATCTGTCAAAGGTGAAAACTGCTTCACTTTGATCCAGGTCTGTACACCATGATTTAGTATCAAAAGGAGGGGTGGATCATAAAATGTATTCTATTCCTCCATTGTCCCATGAAATTATACCTGGCAGTTTAAAATCAAAGGCTGAACCTTAGGCTTTCCTCACCAGCTCCACACTCTCAAGACTTGCTCTTCTGCTTCATCTGGAACCCACACAAATTCTATGCAAAGCCATTCTGCCTTGTTCAATATAACCTTCCTTCGATGTTTTTGTTTGTCTGTTTATTTCGGTGCCTATGTGTATCATCCCTGTATCATGATCCTTTTCTTTAAATGTTCACCTATAGGAGGAGACGGAGTTGATTGACAATGTCAAGAGAAAGAAAAGAACCAAAACAGACAAGTCTAAGGTGCCAAAGGAAGAGAGAGAAGGAAAGGTCCACATAGAAACAAAGGCTGCTATTGGTAAGTAAGTGTGCCCATAAGGAATGGCCAAGGGCAGGGAGTGGTGCTGGGAGGTATCACTGGGAATCAGTGTGGATGCCATGGGACAAACTCTCTGTTTTGAGTCTCCTTGACCACCTGAGATGGTGTTGCAGCCTTACTTCATGTCAATATCTTAGGAGGCAGAAGTAGAGGAAACCAACATGCCTAGAGACCTGTGTTCACCAAAAAAGACAATGACAATTATATTAGCACCTATTTACTGAATACCCACAGTATTAGGAGCTCTGTATATATGACATCATAAAATCCCCCACAACATCTTCATAAAGTGCTATTATATCATGTAGTAGTTGAAGCTGAGGGAGGTTGGGTGACTTGCATAAGATCAAACAGATCGAACAGTAAAGTGATGGGCCCAGGGTCTGACCCTGCCACTTGATTCCAAACACAAGCTGTTTCCACTGCCTCCATGAGTAAAAAACTACATCACAATCTGAGAAATGGGCAGGGAGAGCATTTGGGAGGGGAAAAGATGCAACCAGCTCTGAATGACCCAGCTACCATTTTTCTTCTGGGTTTCCTATGTTATATATACTTCATAAGAAATTCACATTCCTGTGCTTCTGAAGACATTTTTTTAGCCTAAAAACTACACCAGTTTTTTCCTGGCCACATGATGTAGAATACTCTCTAAACAAATAAAAATATATGTAAAAAAGTATGACATTAAATAGTCTCCTGGGCCACATCTATTTTTAAGGTTTGCTTTTCAAAGTGTTGCTGATTTCATGTTGATATAACCGATGACTTGGGTAGCGTTGGCAGGACTAGGAAAAGGAAACACTTGTGACCCCCAGAGGTAAACTGAGGAAAAGTCCTGAGAGAAAGGAAAGTTTAAACTTTTCTGGGTTACAAATCTCACTCTGAAGGCATGACCATCCAGCTGGGTCCGTAGGTGTCCCCTCTGGAGGGTCTTGCCTTCACCACACATGAGGGTATAACAAAACATTTCTAGCAGCAAGATTGCTGGATTATAGTTGATCCAACTAGAATAAGGCAATTTCTCAAAGGGTATGGACTACCCTTCTTAAAATAGTTGTAGTGGTTAGTAAAATGCAACTTTCTGCCAAATCAGACGCTTGAGTGGGGCTCAGGAATCTGCATCCCATGTGACTCCATTACACACTGGAGTCAAAAAGTTACTGAAAAGCATTCATAGAGCTCTGGCCGGTGTGGCTCAGTTGGTTGGGCATCATCCTGCAAGACAAAGGGTCACTGAATCGGTTCCTAGTCAAGGCCCATGCCTGGGTTGCAGGTTCAGTCCCTGGTCAGAGTGCATGCAAGAGGTGACAGATTGATGTGTGTCTCACATCAATGTTTCTCTCCCTCTCTTTCTGCCTCCCTTCCCCCCTTTATAAAAATACATTTTTAAAATCTTTAAAAAAAAAAAAAAGGATGCCTGTCCTGGCTGGTGTAGTGCAGCCCACTGAGTGCCAGCCTGCGAACCAAAGGGTCGCCAGTTCAATTCGCAGTCAGGGCAATGTCTGGGTTGTGGGCCAGGGCCCCAGGCTGGGGGGCATGCAAGAGGCAACCAATCAATGTGTCTCTCGCACATCGATGTTTCTCTCCCTCTCTGTCTCCCTCCTTTCCCCCCCTCTAAAAATAAATAAATAAATAAATAATTTTTTAAAAAGAAAAGGATGCATAGAGACCACATTTACTGAGCTATACCTCTGTCCCTGATTATTGTCACTCAGGAAAGTCAAGGGAATCCAAGACTGAAAAGAAATCAGAGCTAATTCCCAAAGGAAAACACACAGGATCGGAAAGGAAAAGGACACAGAAGGAAAACAATCTGGAAACAGCAGCAGAGCTGAGTAGGCGTGATGCCATTAATTCTCAGGGAACGGAAGACACCTCAGACAAAGATTTCTTCCCTTCAGCCTCTGATCTAGAGGACCCTCGGCTCTCTCCCAGACACGATGCTCAGGAGAGCCAAGTTTCGATAGACAGAAAGTCATTGCCCACCCAGACTGTGGCTGTCACAGGACACATGGCATCTGAAGAAGAGAGAAGCCATGAGGATCCTCCCAAGGTAGGATGCAGTGTTCTCGAAGAAATCCCTCTGGCCCCACTGGTACAAATGCAGAAGTGGGAAAAACTGCCCCAAATTATAGTGCTGTACAGAAACAGTTCTAATACAAAGTGGTTATATATTTTCTACTTTGGTACCTACCAACTTTTTGAAGAAGTCAGACCTGATCAAAGTCATAAGGTGGCAAAGACCTTCTGAAATGATGCATTCCGAAGCTCCCAATCTTCCAGGGCATGTACCCACCCCTTAAAGAGCAGGAAGCTGGTGCAGCAGCCATCTGTGAGGAGTACAGGCCCCATAATCACCTGGAAAGGTGGATTTGGGCCATCAGAGCTGAGCACATATCCTGGACTTGGCCTGAAGCTCACGCCTTGCTTGCCTCCAAAGGCTGTGGATACCTCCTTTCCTAATCTGCTGTTCTGTGGCCCACAGCTGGCCCACAGCTGGCCCACAGGCAGCTCACGCAAACACACTCACATCTGCCTTTCCAGGGTGCCTCTGCATGTAAGAGTGACTTTGTTCCAGAAACCTTGATTCCAATGTTAAGTATTTAAGAGAAAAACTAAGTGAGAGTAAAGAAAATTACCCTTGAAAATTTTTGCTGTTAACCAAAAATAATACCCTACAAGTTCATTGTTCAAAGAGACCCACAAAGCCAATTTTTCCCCTGCTGTTGGATTAGATCACTATTTCTTCCACTGAGATGATGGTATTGAACTGCATTTAGAAATCTTGTACCCCCCAAAAAAAGAGTATCTTTAAACACTACATTAAAATACCCACAGTTAAGATACTACTGTTAAACTTACATAAGTTACATGTATATGGTACAATTCTATGAATCTCATTTACTCTTTACAGCCAAACTCTTAGGTATGATTAGTCCCATTTTACAGACCTAGAAACTGAGGCTTGAAGAAGCTTAAAGCTCTCTTGCCGCAGTTATACAACCATCGAGTGGTGGAGCCAAGACTTAAACCCAGATCTTTTTACTCCAAAATCAGAACTCTTGTCACTATTTTAAATTATTATGTATGTTATAGCCCATGGTCTTCCAAAAAGGATTTCAGAAAGCTGTCTCAATCCTCCCAGCTGCTCTCCACAGACAAAAGTTTCAAACTGTGCACAGAACTTTTCTGAGCCTGCTAGGTTATTAGAATTTCTTAGATTTATTGTCATAGCACCACACTGTCCCTGCAAAGGCTAAAAAGCAAGGAAGTGTCACCCCAAGTTGGGTACACAGGGAAGAGTTGCCTTTCAAGTTTCCCCTTAAAGGCATATTTCTGACTGAGGAGGAGGCACCAGGGAAACAAAGAAAGGTAGGACACCCTTCACATAAACTGAGAGGACCTTTCATGGAAAAAGTGGGTTTGTTTGGACTTAAATGTGAGGCTGACACATCTATACCTAAGACTGCCCCTGGTAACATAGCCTTTATCGAGAACCTGTGGTACCTAGCTGACTTCACGGGAGAAGCTTTTAAAATCATGGATACCTCCCACCTAAGTATTCTCACTTAATCGGTCTGGGTGAGGCCCTGGCCTTAAGTAGTTTTTAAAAATTCCTTGGGAAATTCTATAGTGCCGCTAGAGGTGAGAACTCTAGACATACAAAGTACCAAACATTATGTTGGCACTTTCACTGTTCCAGTTAATCCTGGTAATAGCCCCAAGAGAAGGAAGATATCAGAGACATTAAGCCGTGATCTCCAAATCCTGAAGGAAGTAAGAGACTTGGATCCAGATCAGTCAGACCCTAGAGCCCAAGCTGGTGGCAGCAGAGTTGTGCAGCTGTGGTCGGAGTGTAACAACCACTCAGTGGTTCCATCTTGGATTAGAGACGATCTCATCTGGGGTGGAGGAGGGGCTCACTGCTGAGACAAGCTCACCCCTGATCATTATACTGTGTGATGCACCAAGAACTTACTGGTTTCTTAGGACCTCTTCGCCAAGAGGGAGCAGGAGAAAGCTTTCCGGGACAGGCTGCGAGCAGAGAGAGCTAAGATGAGACAGTTGGAGGTGGAGAAGAAGAGAACGGAGCAGGAAGAGCAGAGGCGGCTCCAACAGGAGCAGCTGGAGAGGGCGAAGAAGATGAAAGAGGAACTGGAGCTGGAACAGCAAAGACACGCAGAGGAGATGCGGTGGGTTGGAGAGAGCAGCCTCAGAGGCTATGGCCATGTTAGGAAGCAAAAGAAAAAGACAGGGGTTGACTTCCACTAGAGACAAAGTTTGGTTCTGAGGCTCCTGCCCTGAAGTAAAGCAGCATGTCTCATTTTTCTCTATCCTCAGCTATACTAGGAAAAACTTGAACCAAGAAAAGATCTTGGTTCAAGATCTTGACCTTCAGCATCTTGACCATTAGGCTTACTGGACAGCTGTCCATGAGAGCTTCCTGGCAGGGACATGTACTTCAGTCCAGAAAACATTTATTGAGTCCCTACCACACCATCTGGTTTCTACTAGGCCCTTTCATAGGCCTTGACTCATTTCATTTCACCTTCATAACAACCTCATGAGATGGGAGTTTCAAAATTCATTTTACGAAAGTGGAAAAGAAAGCTCTAAGATCTTAAGGCCCTTATTCCAGAGCACAGAGCTGTGTGTTGAAACAGGTAATCTTCTATTGGGTTGGCCAAAAAGTTCATTTTATTTTTTCCATAAGATGGCTCTAGTAGCACTTAGTTGTCTTTAACTTCATGCAAAACAATTTTGTTAGATTGTATTGTGACAGCTGTCATATCAGCATGCATTTAAGAAAAAAAATTGGTGAATTTTTGTATAGCCATTTTGATATTGAAGATGGAAGAAAATACACAACATTTTTGGCATATTATGCTTTATTATTTCAGGAAAGGTAAAAACCCAACTGAAACACCAAAAAAAAAAAAAAAAGATTAGTGCAGTGTGTGGAGAAGGTGCTGTGACTAATCAAATGTGTCAAAAGTGGTTTGAGAAATTTTGTGCTGGAGATTTCTTGCTGGAGGATATTCCATGGTTGGGTATACCAGTTGAACTTGATAGCAATCAAACTGAGATATTAATTGAGATCAATATTTATACCATGTGGGAGATAGCTGACATACTCAAAATATACAAATCAATCAAGTTACCAGTGAAAATGAAAAATGTATCTTACTTTACAGAAAAAACCATATGGACTTTTTGGCCAACTCATAGTTCCAGGCCCTGTGTGTTCTTGCCTCTGCCCTTTAGTTGGGTTTCCCTCGAAAAACCAAGCCTCCTCGAGCAGGATGCTCCCTATGGCCCTTAGCCTGCAAGTCTCCACCAGGGGGACTGCCTGTTGGTTTGCCTCACAAGGATGCCCCATCTTCTTCTGCCATTTTCCTGACTATCTTGTGTTTTCTCAGCTTGAGGAAACAAAGACAAGAGGAAGAACGGCAGTGGCAGGAGGAGGAGGAGAAAAGGCAGCGACTCCAGCTGCAAGCAGCCCAGGAGAGGGCCAGGCAGCAACAGGAGGAGTTCCAGAGGAAACTGCAAGAGCTGCAGAGAAAAAAGCAGCAGGAGGAAGCAGAGAGAGTTGGTGAGGGGGGATTCTGGAGCTCTCTCTGCCTCTCCTATCTGGGGCAGAAATACCTTTCTCCCACTGTGGGTGTTCATTCGGATCTCCCAGGAGTTAGTCCTATCCTAGCCCTTACTGTGTGAAGCACTCGAAATGCACAAGCTACTTTTTTCAAGGTAATTAATATATGTGACCGCAGTGAGCTCAGATTCACCAAAATAAGACTCCCTTGTGAAACAACTCTTGGCTCCTGCTTGGAATTCAGCAACCCCCTGAACAGGGGACCCTGCCCCTCCTATTGCCCTTTCCACATTGCTCAGCAGGAGCTGCTCAAATTAGAGTCAGAGCCCTGTTCCTAGCTTCCTTCCCTAGCAGATGGGAACAATCAAACATCTGGATAGCTTCAGGGCAGCCGTTCAGGTGCTGATGTGGGGAATCTCTGCAACCTCACTTTTGAGGAAGAAAAAGAAATTTCAGCAGATGACACTTTTTAGTCTGAGCGGTCCAGCTGAGTAAGCACCAAGTTTCTCCAGAACCTCATCTGATCCCCTTCCTCAACTCATCTGCATACCACCCCATAAGCACACAGGGCTCTGAAAAAATTTCCCCCAAGCTTTTGTGTTAATTGTAGTATACTGCACATAGTAGGTGTTTGACAATGGACTCTTAGTTAACCCCAACGTAATCCCCACAGAGGACCTGGCAGCCTGCTGGCAGGGCAGCATTTCTCCCGGGAATCCCTGGGAATCACAGACTTGAGAGGTGGATTAGAGAATTTTCTCCAGTAGAGGCCCTGATGAGACCACCCCCTTTTCTCTTCTGCAGAGGCAGAGAAGCAAAGGCAGATGGAATTGGAAATGAAGTTAGCAGAAGAACACAGACTCCTGATGGAAATGGCTGAAGAAGAACGGATAGCATACCAACGGCGGAAACAGGAAGCAGAAGAGAAGGCTTGGCTGGAAGCAGAGCAGAGAAGGCAAAAGGACGAGGAAGCAGCCAGGCTGGCTCTGGAGAAAGCCGTGACACAAGCCGAGGAACTAGCCAGGTATGGGGTATTCGGGCAACGGTTACCACAGGGGAACTGTTCAAGGGCTTCACTGCCTGGTGCTAGTGCTTGCACTGCCTTTGAACAAGTGAAGTCCAAATTACACTCCCACTTTCTTCACCATAATTTGGAAGAACTAAAAAACAGGTGCTTTTTCTGCAAATGTCACAGAATTTCTTCATGGCTTATAGAACTTGTATTGAAGCTAGAAGACTATTTCAGCCCTCTGGTTTACAGATGAGAAAAGTAAGTCCCAGAGACAGGAAGGATCTTGATCAGGGCCAGATAGTAAGTTAGGGGCATGCCCAGGCCAAAGACCCCCTGATTCTGAACCACTCCTTTCTCAATATTTATTGGGTACCCATTATTTGCCAAACACTATTCTGGATACTTCCTCGGAATTCAGGAGTAAGCAAGAGGGATGTCTCTTCCACCATGCCATTTATATTCTAGGGGTTGGGGGGATGGCAAGAGGCTCTAAACAAATATATTTCTATTTAGCTGGCAGTAAATGCTATACAGGAAACTTTTAAACCTGTGACAGGATTGCAGGCTTAAATATCTTTAAAACTTTTTATTTATTAATTGATTTTTCAGAAAGGTGGTGGAGAGAAGGGGGCAGAGAGAGAGAAACATTCCATGTTTCCCACTTATTTATGCATTCATTGGTTGATTCTTATATGTGCCCTGATCAGGGATCGAACCTGCAGCCTTGGCATATGAGGATGATGCTCTGAGATACATGGCCAGGGTGCAGGAGGGTTAGTTTAGATTGGTTGGCAAGGGCAAGGCCTCTCAGAAGAGGTGATATGTAAGTTGAAATGTGAATGACAAGGAGTTAATCACATAAACATCTGGGAGAAAAATATTTCAGCAGGTAAACAGTAGATGCAAAGATGCAAAGAAAGGAACGAGACTGGCATGCTGGAAGAAGAAAAGAAAGTTGGCATGGCTGGAACAGAGTGATCGAGGCACAGCGAGTACTTCCGGAGGAGGTCAGAGAGGCAGACTAGAACCGGATCTCGTGAGGGCCTCGTTAGGAGAAAGCACGCAGAATCAGTCATCAGGAACCAATGGCATTTCCCCCTTTATTCTCACCAAATAGTAATGATTATCACATCCTTCTGATAACAGAAGCTCTTGAGTAATAAGGCTGTGTTTTTTTTTAAGATTTTATTTATTTTTTGGGGGGGGGAGGAGGAAGAGAGGGAAACATCAATGTCTTATTGCCTCTTACATGCCCCATACTGGGGACCTGGACCACAACCCAGGCATGTGCCGACTGGGAATCAAACCAGTGACCCTTTTGTTCACAAACTGGCACTTGATCCACTGAGCCACGCCAGACAGGGCATTTGAGTAATATGGTTTTAATCAACTCTTTAAGCTGCATCTAAGCTAATGGTTGATAGGGGATTGGAAAGAAAAGGCAGCCAGAACTCTTTTCAAGGTTTTCCACCTAACCTTGAGTTGTACCTCTCCTAGACTTGTTATGTGAAGTACCAAACAGATCATCAGTGAAATGTTGATTCAATTTCAAAATTATGCATTCCATGCATCATAGCAGTAGGGCCGGATTCATAAGTACTAAGACCAAAATAATGGTACTGGAGTTCTAATTTTTCACAAAAATAAAACTGACAAGTCATATGTGGGGAAGTTGAGCAATTTTCTAAGGCTTACAGTGTGCCCACAGAGCCTGAGCCCCCCCCCCCCCCCCCCCACAGATGAGAATAAGTCTACCAAGACATGATCTGTTTGGAGAGTAAAGGTGGCCAATCTCTCAAAGGGCCAAGAGCCTTTTCATCAATGGGCTTTTATTGGGTTCATTTTGCACCGGAATACAGGTAAAGCTCATTAATCATTGTCAGGCAGTAAGGATCAAACAATAGATAGCATACAAAGAACTATGAGGGCTTATTCTGAGTCAGGGTCTGTTAGCTAAAGGGCTACAAAACTTTGGGGAACAAACTCACTTCCTGCTTGGACACTCATCATTTAATTGAGAGCCTTCTAAACAAAGCAGTTTTCACAGGATTTTACATATTCTTTCTTAGGTCTGATCACTTGAGGGGACCTGCCCTTTCCAGCACTGGGCTGCATTCACCACCATTGTTTCAGGGTTAAGGCTTAAGTCAGGCAGGGGAAGTAAGGCAACCAAGAGATTAGACTTCTTACAGACAGAATGAGGACTCAGGCTATGTCAAAGCTGAGGGGTAAGGGTCCGTCACCCCCTTTTGCTATAGCCCCCCAAGTCCTTCCCTGGGGCCTCCCCATGATCATGCCTATTTTAGGTCATTCCCCCTTTGGGGAATCTTACCCGTCATTGGCTAACTGATGTAGCACTGGGGGCCAGGCAGGGTGAAAAAGCTTATCTCCCACCCCTGCCTGGGAGATAAGCTTTGTCTCCTTAGTGGTTTATGGTCCAAACGTCACTCACTCAGCCTTAGCCATGGTGAGGTTACAGCTTCTGAAACCAGGCAAGGCAGTTCCCAACATTAAAACAATTAGCTGTGAGCAGAAAACCACATAGTGAAGGGATATGTTAAGAGGGAGAGCCTCACTCCACCAAGGGTAGAACTTACCAACTGGCTGTATTTCCTCTTCACTGTGTGACAGACACTGGCCCAAGTACATTAACTTTTCTGGCCTGTTTTTTCCTCTAAAATAAGGGAGTCCTAACCTGGCTTGTGCAGATCAGGGGATTAAGTGCCAGCCTCTGAACTGAAAGGTTATGTTTGGTCCCTAGTCGGGGTGCATACCTAGGTCACAGGCCAGTCCCCCAGGTCAGGACTTGGGAGAGGCATGGAATTGGTGTTTCTCTCACATGTGGATGTTTCTCTCCCTCTTGCTCCCTCTCTTCTGCTCTCTAAAAATAAATAACATCTTTTAAAAAATAAGGGGGCAATGCAAATTTAAGAACTGTGAGTTATGCCTCTTTTACTTCCCCGGTGGGAAGCTCATGACACTCTAAACCTCATCCACAACTAAATGAACTGAACATGATGCAAGATCAGGACCCCCAAGTCCTACTGATGATTACTCAAGTCCAAAGTTCTTCTACTAACTGTAAGGAGAATTTCTAGGGTGCTTAATCAGGATTGGGGTTGTCTCCTTAGGCAAAAGTCTGCTTTGAAGAAACGTCTTCATTTCCATCGAGAACTCCACAAAGAAGCCAGTGGCCTGCAGTGGGCACACAATATCTCCAGACCGTGGGTCTACTCTTACTTCCAGTTCCTACAAACACCCAGACCTTAATGCTAGAAGAAAACTAAAAAGTAAGTTGGGAGGTGATGACAAAAAGACACTCCTTCTATGATGAGTTCCACCCCATCTTGTTCACCTCACCCCACACCTAACTTCACTCTGGGAAGTTCACTCCATTCACTACCCCTCCCCACCACTAAGAGTTTACTCAAACCACTTACATTCTTCACTCACATAAATCCAGCAGCTTTGATGCTTGATTTCAGTAAGATGCTATCACAGTCTTAGGATAGTTCAAGTATTTCATTTTTGTCAGTGTCTGAAAGAGTTGCAGGTAAATGGAAATTCTTCAATGTAAATAATTCTGAATTAGCTAGAAGCTAATTCACATATATTAAGAATTATTACATTGTTTGTATAAAGCAAATCTACATCCATTTCATCCTATGAATCTAAAACCTAATGTCTACTTAAAACAAGATAATCACTTGATAAATGCTCATTTCACAACATGAGCCAAAGAAGTTTCTAGAACTACTGTCCAATAAGAAGCCATAACTAGCTATTTAAATGTAAATTAAATATTCCATTCTCTGGTCACACTAGCCACAATTCAAGTGCTCACTAACCGTCTGTGGCTACTGGCTACCATTTTGTATAGCACAGATATAAGACATTTTTATATCACAAAAATTCTCCTGGACAGCAAAGTGTTCTAGAGTCCAGAAAATCTAACAAATCTTAAGGTTTGCCTTTCAACTGTGATTTGAAGAACCAATAACTCGCATAACTGCCCCATTTTAAAAATCACACTGACTCTGTCAAAGAGGAATCTTGATTAGATCATTTGTCTTTAACATTTATTTAATAAGTATCTAGTTTTATCATAGAATTATCATTAGAGGATAAAAGAGCTTTAGCAAAGATCTACAAAAGGATATTAAAAGCATTATCTGAACCTAAATTCTCCCACAAATTCCCTTTGCTTTACTTCACTGTCCACAACTGAAAAACTTAATATTTGCAGATGAGTTACTCAAACTTCCCACTAATGCTTATATTTGTCTTCTACAGAAATTGCACTTCTGGGGAATTCCGCCAAGATGGCGGCATAGGTGGAGACGCTGTGCCTTCTCACACAACCAAGTTTAGAGACAACTAAATAATAGCAACAGAAAACACAGCCAGAACACAGAAAATAGAACTTTTCGGAAGTCTGATAACAACAAATTCTTCAGCCTGACCGGTAAGAGAGGCGAAACCAGCAGCTGGCAGAGCGGGGTAGCACAGGAAAACTCCGTCAGACGGACTCAAGGCGCACGGAATCCAGGCGCAGGGTTGGACATGGTGGGCAACTCAGCGAGTGACCGCGAGGAAACAGCGAGGGAGCAGGGCTGCGGGTTGACTGTGGTCGAACATTCATGTGTGGATAGACAAGCGAGGGAGTGGGCGATTGGACGAGAGCCAGCAGCCCCAGCGGCAAGTGGCAGAGGGCACCAGGCGCCATTTCCCCACTCTAACCCCGCCTCCACATACAGCGTCATAATCCAGCGACCTAAGAGGCCCTGCCCCGGTGAACAACCTAAGGCTCTGCTCTTCACCCAGCAGAGAGAAACAGCAGAGGGGGCCGCCATTTCCCTGCTCTGACCCCACCTCCACATACAGAGTCACAACCCAGCGACCTGGGAGTCCAAGGCTCCAGTCCTCAGTCTTAACGGGCACAAACAGACCAAAAATGGCTCAAGAAGATCTCAAAGCCCCAGAACCTATAAATCTAAGCAATGAAGAAATAGCAAAACTCTCAGACCCACAGTTTAAAACACTGGTGATCAGGATCCTCACAGAACTGGTTGATTATAGCCACAAATTAGACAAACATATGAAGGTGAAACTAATTGAAATGAATGGAAATGCACAGGAAACCAATAGCAATGAAAAGAAAACTGGGACTCAAATCAATGGAGTGGACCAGAAGCAAGCAAATAATGGCCAAACAGAAAAGAGTGAAGAAGCAAGAATTCAAAGAAATGAGGAGAGTCTTAGGAACCTCCAGGACATCTTTAAATGCTCCAACATCTGAATTATAGGGGTACCAGAGGGGGGAAAGGTACAGCCACCAGTGGAAAACTTATTTGAACAAATAATAAAGGAGAATTTCCCCAATCTGGCAAAGGAAATAGACTTCCAGGATATCCAGGAAGCTCAGAGTCCCAAAGAATTTGGACCCAAGAAGAAACACACCAAGGCACATCATAATTATATTAGCCAAGATTAAAATGAAGGAGAGAATTCTAGAAGCAGCAAGAGATAAGGGGACAGTAACCTACAAAGGAGTCCCCATCAGACTGTCAGCTGATTTCTCAAGAGACCTTACAGACAAGAAGGGGCTGGAAAGAGGTATTCCAAGTCATGAAATCCAAAGACCTACAACCAAGATTGCTCTATCCAGCAAAACTTTCATTTAGAATGGAAGGGCAGATAAAGTGCTTCTCAGATAAGATCAAATTCAAGGAGTTCATCATCACCAAGCCCTTATTATATGAAATGTTAAAGGGACTTATCTAAGAAAAAGAAGTTAAAAAAACATGAAGAGCGAAAGGACAACAAACTCACAGTTATTAACAACCACACCTAAAACAAAAGCAAACTAAAAGGACAGCTAGATCAGGAGTAGAAACATAGAAATGAAGATCTCAAGGAGGGTTAGCAACAGGGGAGTGGGAGGAGGAGAAGGGGGGAGAAGGTACAGAAAATAAGTAGCATAGACAGTAGATAGAAAATAGATGGGGGGGCAAGAATATTATGGAAAATATAGAATCTAATGGACTTGAGACACATGGTCATAAACTAAAGGGGGGGTAATGGTGGGGATGGGGGGTAGGGTGGAGGGGAATGAAGGGGGGAATAGAACAACTGTAACAGCATAATCAATAAAAAAATAAAATTAAAAAAAAAGGAAATTGCACTTCTACAATCCAGAAATCAAGCTTAATTTTGATTCCATATTGCTGTTATTAAACCTAGATCTGATGCTTATTTTTAATTTCTTGTTTTATGTAAAACAGAAATAAAATGACCCAAACACTGGCTATCAGTAGTAGTGAATTTAATGTCTTTTTCTCAAACTTGATGGCCCTACTTAGACATTCATTCATTCTTTCTTTCTTTCAATTACTTTATCAGATGAGAAAGAAGCATGTCAAAAAATTCAACCAATAACAGAAGAAAAAATACTCAAGGAAAACATCTCTGTGGGGCAAATTACCATTAATGACTTTATTTTCTTCCTTCATTTACAAATTTAGGTTGTTGCAGTCAAGCACTATGTAGAGTGGCTACACTAAATGTTATTCAAGGTCCCTTCCAAATCTGATAATCAACTATTGCTATGAAAGGCCTATTTTACCAGTACCACTACACCAGATAATCACATTTGAAAGTTAACCATAGCAGAATTCAATGCATTTAGAAGAATCCAATTAATTGAAAAGATAAAATTTATTTCCCCAGTAGCTAAGCTTTACTATCTAAATGCTGAGAGCCTTTAGAGATGCAATCAAAAATAAGATACTAAACCACACATTAACGAATTCTGGATTGCTCAAATAGTTGTCAGCTTTGTTACTCAGGCCTGAAATATACAGTTCAACGAGGATTTTCTACAAATGGGCCTAATTTCTAGTCACTGTTTAATATAATGTAATAAATGCCAGGTGATGGTCTAAATGCACTAATTTACCTAGAGTATATATGTATAATACACATAATTTTTCAGATAGGGTCAAATACAGGAATTTATAAGGCAAGCCAATTATTTTTAAGAGGTGACCTGGATTTATAACAGTTTATAAAATGCATTAGAGACAGGTTTTACTTGTTCTTCTCAAATGCTCAGATGACATTCTATTTGGGATAACATGAAACTGGATTATGTGTATGCATAGATATACTAAATTCTGTGATTCAGCAAAAAGTTAAAAGGTTAAGACCTCTAATAGAAACTTATTTGGTACTTTAATCTTACACAATTTAAGTATATAAGATATAAAGAAATAAAGGGAAAATATAAACAAACAAAATATACCAAACCTTAAGTAAGCAGAGAAACATTTTGTTAAAGGAATAACTGAAATTATCAATATAAACCAATTAAGAAGTTTTGGTGTGCCCATTTATTCAACATGATTGGGTATCATATATATATATGCACCATACAGAAATATCAAGTATTTTTAAAAAACAGAACACTGAGTATTTAAGAAGGTATTGTGGCCTTAGTCAAATCCTTAATTCAGAAGGCACTTCAGTAACTTTCAGTGCTTCAAAGCCATGATGATCATCACTGTACAGTACTGAAAAAATATGTATTTGTACTATGTACAAACAATAATTTCCAGTATTATCAAGAAAATCTTGTTTCAGGCATTTTCTTTTTCTTTCTGTACAATTAAAAATAAAATGGAACATTAGTGTGATTTTTACAAATATTTTGTTTATTTTAATGAAGCTGGTACAGACAATGTCCATTTAAAACCCATATCCCAGGCCAAAAAGTACAAATTAAAATAAAAAAGAGCAGTGTTCTGTTGTATACACTTCTGCATGAATAACTTTATTAACTGCTAATGAAAATTAGAACTTTTCTGGGATCTTCTGACAAGATTTTTCTTTACTCTTAAAATGCTTTTTCTTCAGGGAAGCCATCTTTGGAGTTAGTCTTTACTTTCGCTTTATCTGTCACCTTGATTCCAACCTGATATTTCTCTTCTTTTGGTCCAGACCTTCAGATGTTAAAAGTAGCTTCAAGTTAAGGAAAGGTCATTTTCCACAGTTCAGTTCTCCGAAAAACCTCCATCTCCCACTGAAAGTCATAGTCCAGGAGTGAAGCAATCACAAGCTAGAACTTCCCGGCCAATTAGAAATGTCATTAGGAACACTTGCATTGGTCGACCTCATTTATCACAAGCCTGAAAATGCACAGTCCTGAAAAAGGTGGCCTCTCTGTGCACACATGTAATGTTTAAAAAGGAGAGGGCTGTATGAAGGGGTCTAAGGTTTGATCACCAAAAATCAGCACAATGAAAACAAAACAATAATGAATGGGCACTAGAATTCAAATTACCAGATGTTTTAAAGACATAGAGGGTAGGGGTCAGTTTTCAATTCAATTCTGAACACCACATTACAAAAGAACTATTTTTAAAAATAAAAAAGGACTGAGGGAAAAGTAAATAAAATAAAAAGAATATCTAAACCGTTGAATGACCCCCTGTTTGTTCCTGATAAACTTCAATCACATCTTCTTCCTCCATTCCCAGCTGTAAGAGAAAATAAAAACATTTTAAGAGAATATAAAACATGATTCTTTAATTGATTGCAATTGTGCAGCCACTGTTTTAAGGTACAAAAAGATACAAAGGAGATCCATAGTTGCACTGTTCTAAGGTTAAGAATCCTGTTCCTTTATAAAGACACATGGAGATATGTGTTTCCCTCAGATTCTATGTCAATGAAGTCATTTATTACTTTGCTGAGTCAATTTCACTTTCCAGTTTATTCGATATATAAAACTTAAGTCTTTTATTGGAAAGGACTGTAAAAGAGTACTAAATCTAATGGAACATATATTTAATAGTTTAAATAATAGTTTGATTGCATATTTTCTAAAAAGCATTTTATTTCTAGATGTAACTACCTGATAAAAATTTCTTTTTCAAAAACCCTGATCACTTTGAAATATATGTGATTTTAGTTAGAAAAGAGATGCCTAAGGATTCATTTCTAAGTGGTTTGCTTATCATCTAGAATTGCTTCTGGCCCATAATTATTTTTTTTGACAGTGACCACTCTCAATGAAGAAAAATTATGTATATAACTACTCTTAATCAATTCCTCCAGTTTTATAAGCTAGATTATTTTTCAGCCCATCCCTTCTCAATTCTTACAGGAAAAAAAGGGGGGAATCCTTTAAATGCCTTTATAGAACATTAAGCAAAGTATTAGGCAATTATCTTTACAAGTTTCGTGTGCACTGAAATATCACAGAATTTTTTTCTTACAGACATTACACTTACCTGTGGGGATACGTTCCAAGACCACCGAGTAGAGGCCTGAAGCCACAGACAGCACTGAACCCTACATATATTGTTTTTTTCCCTACATATTACAGTGTTTTTTCTTCTTTGGCATATCCGAATTGCCAGTATCACTATTCTTGCACTTTGGGGCCATTATTGAGTAAAATAAGGTTACTTGAACACAAGCACTGAGATACCAAGACAGCTGATCTGAAAACCAAGACAACCACTAAGTGACTAACAAGGGAGCAGTACATAAAAGCACGAATACACTGGACAGAGATGATTCGCATCCCAGGCAGGACGGAGCAAGACAGCACAGGACGGCACAAGATTCCATCACACTACTCAGAATGTTGCACAACTTTCAACCAATGAATTGTTTACTTCTGGAGTTTTCCATTTACTATGTTATGACTGTGGTTGCTTGCAGGTAATTGAGACCACAGAAAGCAATACTGCTAAGGAGGTCTATTATATTAATAACGGTTGCTTCTGATAGATGTTTCTCTCTCTCCCTCCCTTCCCCTCTCTCTAAAAATAAATCTTAAAAAAAAAATAATGGTTGCTTGCTAAATGGGAACGCAGATATAGTCAGAGTATATTTTCCATTTTCTATAGTTTAATAGTTTAGTTTTATTACTTTTATTTTTAACTATGAGAAGTCTTTATACAAAAAAAGAACAGAGTACACAAAGGGGCACGGTGTCACACGGTGACCCAGGCACACCCTTATGAGGGTGAAGGACTCTGAATCTGTCGTTCCTGGGTGCAGCCAGGGTTGAGAAGCGAGAGGTAGACCAAAATAAAAAACTAGAACTGTGTTCACTGAACTATAATGAACCAGAAAAAACAAATGAAAAATAAAAAATTTTAAGTCTAAGGTCAATCAATAATCTCTAATAAGTTTCACCTTTTATAGGTGATGTTTCTATGCAGAATTTCAAAATATAAAAAAATTAAAGAATGCTAAGAAAACTAAAAAAACACAGGCTTCTGTGGATTTAGAATTATTAAGTGATTAAATTGGCATTCGTGTTATGGTTATCTTGGCTGTGGTACATATATGAGTATTAAATTTTTAAAGGTGCTATAAAACTTCATCTTAATTACACATATAGCCTGTTAAATACTGCAAGGAATGAAATTCCAAACATTACAAGGGAACCTTGAAATCAGGAAGGTAGCACGTGTCCTCAAACTATGTACATTAGTAGAGATGAATGAACAATGGGGCAAGGAAGCCTCTCCCTAAATATCTACTTTCTCACTGTTCCATTATTTTTCTGAAAATATAATCTCTTAATGAAAATAAGGAAGTTGTCACTAAAATGTATTTTGTATCTATTTTATATTAAGAGGTTATTTTAAGCTGAGACAGGGAAAACTCGAGATGAGTATGGAACATCTTACTGTGCTGAAAAGTAAGGAAATGCTCAAGACAGTGGGTAGAAACTAAACCTCGGGGGGAAAGTTTGATAAGAAGACAATCAAAAGTGCATACCCACAACTTACTCAAAAGAGGAAAAATAGCAACTACACGGTAAAGAAAAAAGTTAAATTGAGTGAAAAAATTAACATCACCTATCATTACACCCTGATCAGAAAGACACATCGCCATTTATGTAGTAGTCAGCCAAAAGCATAATACATAACCCAGATCCAGGACTTTCTAGAAAATAACTAATATGTATTTTTCAAAGATATAAATGTCATAGGAGACAAGAATAGCATCTATATGTTCCACATTAAAGATGATAAAGAGGCACTTGAATAAAGTATGTTGATACTGAGCTGAATCCTGTGACAGAAGAGAAAATTTATTATAAAAGACACAACTGGGACAAATGACAAAATTAGGTTGTAGCTTAAAGTATTCTGATAACATTAAGTGTCCTAAATTTTATTAACAGCACCATGGTTACATAAAATATACCTGTTCTTAAGAAATATGCACAAAAATATTAAGTAGTAAATGGCCATGGTTCATGCAACCTACTCCCAAGTGGTTCATAGGGTACACATACCTAAATATATACATGGGGGTTAGGGAAGTATAATAAAGTAGCAAAATGTTAAAAATAGGTGAATCTAGATAGAAGCGAGTACAATATTTTGTACTGCTCTCACAACTTTTCTGTAAGTTGGAAATTATTTCAAGATAAAAACTTTTAAAAGATAGGAAAAAAAAGATGGAGACATGTCAAAAAAAAAAAAACATAGACACCAACATGAAGAAGTCTCTCAATGGCCAATATCTTAAGAAGAATATTCAGTTTCAAAGTATCTCCCCACAAATTATTAATTACAAAGAAAAACAATAATTTTGCAATGGAGAAACCTGGCAGTTACCACCTTAAGTAACTATATCCATAACAAGACAAAGAGCCATCATGTACCTCCTGATGTGATACACTCATATAAGTACATGGCTTCACTCCGTGGCACTCGTACCAAAAATGCAAAACTGGATCTACGTAATCATGAGGAAACATCAGACAAACCCAAACTGAAGGAATTTATAAACAAAGAGTCCACAGAATACAATAAAACAAGTTAAGACACAGAAGTATTAAAAAACACAAATCAAGATGACATAGCCAAATATATTAATATACACTAAGCTTCTGTGTGAAGTTTCAAGATGGGTCAAAGTCAAAATCAAACCATAAAGGTCACCATCACCATGAAAGTGTACCAGAAATCTGCCAAATTTGAGGAACATCTGTCCATCTTCAAGAAGACACAGTATGTGCCTTATGACAATCTCCATACCCCATTCCACTTTCAACTTCTCTTTTTACTGGCATTTTTGAAGGCAATATATGGAAAGTTCAACTCAAATGATTTTTTCTCTGACAAGTGATATACCACTTAAATCAGAGAATATTCAAGAAATGGGCAGTTTACCATGAACAAAATCATTCAATGCAGAATTTAAAATTTTTCTTGACTCAAAGAAGAAATTTTACTCACTTCTTTTGGAGTGTGATTATCAGCAATTCTCTGACCTTCAAAGAGAAACCTGAGTGAATTCATTGGAACTCCCTAAAAAGGCAAAAAACACACACATATATGTATATATATATATATACACACACACACACACAAATCCTAGAAGAAATAATAACTTTGATGCACAAAAAAGCAAACATGAAAGCTTCAACAGAATACATATAACATAAAATTAGCTAATTGTATCATCATAAGTATAATTTATCAAGTACCAATTATTTGCAAGGCCCTCCCTGCCCCAAGCATTTTACATACACAATCATAACTGTTCATCACCTTATCTTCATTTTACAGCTAGGGAATCGAAGGTAAGGAGGAGAGGGCACACAGCAAGCCTTAACAGCAAGCCAAGATTTTAAGGCTTGCTTAAATTTTAATCTGTTCTTAAATTTTAAATCTGTTCTAAGCCGGTGCTTCTGATAACTATTTTTTTAATTTAATTTATTTATCTTTAGAGGGGAAGGGAAGGAGAGAGGGAGAGAAACATCAATGTATGGTTGCCTTTCGTGCATCCCCTGTTGGGAACTGGCCTGCAGGGAACTGGTCTGCAACCCAGGCATGTGCCCTGACTAGGAATCAAACTGCGATTGTCTAGTTCGCAGGCCCGTGCTCAATCCACTGAGCTACACCAGCCAGGGCTTGATAACTATTTTATAGTTTCCTCTCAAATCTATAAGCTAACATAAAAGGTAAAATCAGAAACTGGATGAGCACCCTCACTCACTTCCAACTGTATAAGTAAAACTGGCTTTAAAAAGACTAAACCATAGAAATTTGATAAAAGCATCATAGCTGATCAGATAAGCTACAATAAACCTTTGATGGCATAGATAGCACTGAAAGTATCACAAAAGATATTAAAATAATTTTTAAATCACTTATTCAACAAAATAGCTGATATGACTCATGTAAAGAGAAATAACTAAGAACAAATCAAGAATCATTAATCTAGTCCAAAAGTATTATAAAAAATTTGCTCAATACTTAAAATATTAAGATTTTCATTGCTTAAACATGGTCCCAAAAGAAACCCACAAAAATTAAAACTATCTTTCAATATGTACTACACATAAGTACATAAGGCCATACACACTTACCCTTCATCTCACTAAATTCATTACATTTCATACTTAAATTCTTTCCAGGGCATATATTAAATAAAATAAATATAAGTGACTAAGGTAGAATATTCTTTGATTTTAATTTAATTATAGGACACACATTGAATTATAGGTCAAAAATGTTTCTATAGAAATCAATAAACACAAAATGGAAAAATGACTCAATAAATATTTACTTTTTGTACTTTTCAATCTCTACTGGGTATTACATAGCTCCAACGAATTGTTTCCTATTCCTTGCATGTCATTAAATAAAAGAAAAATATTACCAAGCCCTGTGAACTAAGTATAAACATCTTTTCTAAAGACTGAATACTCTGAAGCATATAAAAAGAAAGCACACTCTGAGCCACCCTGTCCAAAGTGGCTGTTGGTTGGAGTGTCATCCAATAAGCCCAAAAGTGATAGATTCAATTCCTGGTCAGGGCATATGCCTAGGTTTCAGGTTCAGTCACCATCAGGGCATTTATGAGAGGCAACTGATCAATGTTTCTTTCTCACATTAACATATCTCTCCCAGTCTCTCTCCCTTCCCTTCTCTCTAAAATCAATACACATGTCCTTGAATAAGGAGAAAAAAAGTTGGAAATAATTCTAAGTTGATATTATATTTTAATTATCTCCCCAAACCTAGCACCTTCCATAAACTTTAGTTTTGTGATTTTACTTCTTTACTTTGCTGTTTTTCCTCATAGTCAACTCCTTGGTATATTGATGAAGAGAGAAGACTATATAATTTTCTTCAGAATTGTTGTGAGGATTAAATACAATGTGTCTTAGTACCTAGCATAGCACACTTAGTATTTATTTCTTTCCCCTGGTGAACACGCAATTTTAGCACTCATCAGTATTATTACACATGTGAACTAGTTGAGCACCAATTAATAAGATTTTACCAAGTTTAACAATATCAAAAACTAAAGAGACAAAAATATTTACTGTTTTACATACCCTAACACCCTGGTAATCTCTTTTTCTTATAGCCAAAGCGATTTTTACTTACGTTACAAATTTAAACTGTGAAAAGAAACCATCTAAAAAACTCACAATACTTGTGTTAATATCATGTAACACAATTTGATTACTAAAATATATCTCGGTTATCTCCTATACCTGGATGGTCCCCAACTTTCCACTTTTTGACGTTATGATGATCCGTAAATGATGTGTGCACTGTAGAAACTGTACAGTTAAACCTTGAACATGGGTCTGAGCTGCACAGGCCACTTATATACAGATTTTTTCAATAAGTGTATACCGTATTATAGATGTATTTTCCTTATGATTTTTTTCATAACTTTTTTCTCTAGCTTATTTTTTGTAAGAATACAGTATGTAATATATATAATATACAATATAAACCCTATGTTGTTCAAGGACCAACTGTACTTCAGATTTTGAATTTTGATCTTTTCCCAGGCTAGTGATATGCAATTAAGATACTCTTTCATGATGCTGGGCAGCAGCGATGGGCTGCAGGTCCCAGTCAGCAATGCGATCACAGGGGTAGACAAGCAATACTCCACAAGAGCACTGTGTTGCCAGCATTTTTTAATATTGTATTCTAAGCACATTTAAGGTAGCCTAGGATAAGCTATGACTTTCAAAAGATTAGGTGTATTAAATGCATTTTTGACTTACGATATTTCGACTTATGATGAGTTTACTGGGATGCAACCCCATCCTAAGTCCAGGAGCATCTGTACACTAATTCCAATGACATTTATTCAAAATTATATTTTACTATTAATGATAATGGGTAGCATTTACTAAGCATTATTTCTTCTTCTTCTTTTTTTTTTTTTCAATGTGTGCTTTCCTTTCACTCACTCACTACCAGGGACCTGGCTCACCACCCAGGCATGTGCCCTGACTGGGAATCAAACCAGCGACCGACCCCTTGCTTGGCAGGCCTGTATTCAATCCACTGAGCTACATCAGCCAGGATGATTAAGCAGTTTTTTTATGCATCATGTTAAGAGCTTTATGAAGGTCATTTTATTTCATCTCCATGAGGTAGGCTCTGTAATATTCCCATTTTACTAAGTTCCTTGTTTAAAAAAAAGATTTTATTTATTTATTTTTAGAGAGAGGGGAAGGGAAGAAGAGAGGGAGAGAAACATCAATGTGTGGTTGACTCTTGCGTGTTCCCCACTAGGGGGGCCTGGCCTACAACCCAGACATGTGCCCCAACTAGGAACTGAACCAGCAACCCTTTGGTTCACAGGCCAGCACTCAACCAACTGAGCCACACTAGCCAGCCAGGGCTAAGTTCCCATTTTACTAAGGGGGAAACAAGGCACACAACTTATTCTTGCTCAAACAGTGGGGGAGCCCATATCTGAATCTTAGACAGTTTAAAGAAATTAGTTATCAACTTAATAATCTAGTTCACGAAGGCCAAAATCTGTAAGAATTTGGCATTAATAAGTTAATTAGAGTTCTATATGGTTTTTAAAAGAGAAATGCTTGATATTAAAAGCATAGAACACAATTAGCAGTAATCTGTACTATTATGTATAAAATAATAAATAGTACTTAAAGATAATTTTGTTAGTACTTAAATTTAACATATGACTAAACTTTTGGTTACAAACAAGGAAATTTCATACTGATCAACAAAATGTACTTGCCTTAATTATATATACTGATAAGCCATAAAGATAAAGAAAAATTAGTGACAAAGAAAGCACTGTATTTAATATAATAATATACAAACCTGTCTTTGACAGTATGATTCTTTGAGTTTCTTGAGATGTGTTGTCATTTTCACTTTGAAGTGAATCTCACTGCTATCCTAAGGAGATACAAGAAAACAATTATCCCTCTTTGTGTAAATTATTAGCTTTGCTTGAAACAAATTATTTAATTACACAAATAGAAACAAACCTTGTCACCTGTATTTTCCCACCAAAATATGTTTTAATATTCATAACAGGTATTATTAAAACACTCTAATCACTGCTTTATAGCCATGTCAAAAGAAATTTAATAAAACAAACATAAAGACAATCTGTCTTGAATTTTTAAATTAGCAGCGTAAGTAAAAGCATTTATGTAAGAGAATGCTTTGCTTCATAATTGTATGTTCACTCTACATTTAAAATAAAAGGTGAATTATCACAAACCCCGCCAAAAGCAACTCAAAACAAAAAAGTACCTCCCCAACAACTGAAGTGTTATTGAAGGTAGTCAAACTATAAGAGACATACAAGGTCTGTCCAGAAAGTATCCAGCTACGTGCTATGAAAAATAGACGCATTTATTGAAGATACAAGAAACATTTACATAGGACAATGATACCTCAGCCACTTTAAAAGGAGGCACCTTGAGACCTCACAGAATTCTCTCAGAGTCTCTTCCCTATTCAAAACACTCTGCAAAATCCTTTGTTGGAATCGCCATCAGCTACCCCATCATATTTTCCTCAGTTCTCACTGACCATCTGAAATGTCTTCCGTTTCAAAGGTGATTTTAGTTTTGGGAAAAGCCAGAAGTCACGGGGCACCGAATCTGGGCTGTACAGGAGCTGAGTCACCTGGGTCATTTGATGTTTTGCCAAAAAACTCAGCATAAGATGTAATGCATGACCAGTTGCCCACAGCTGCAGCCTTCTGCATCATCCCAGTAGTTTCCACAGAGGAATGTTCCAGCTTAATGCCAAATCTGATTGTACTCGCTCATTTTGGAACGTGATGGCCACACAGTACACACACTCACTCAATGGCATTTACCACCCCCACTGACTAGTACAGTGAAGTCATCATTGTTCACATATGCACATTCCAATCCACTCTCCTTGGCTGCCAGATTATATCAATGTCATGCAAACCATTTTCATTATGTTAACAATGTCTGGATTTTTTTTTTGCACAGACCCTGTATACCTTAAAATAACACACTGAAAAATTTAATCCTGACATAGAAAGTCACCCCAGAGTCTGGTTTCTCTCACATGATAAAATGATTAAGAACCTGAGTCAGTTAATTAGATTTGTGGGACCACAAATCTTTTTTCTTTTTTTTCAATTCTTTTCTTCTACCCAAACTGTCAAGCAAGCTATCAGGCAAACATCAAAAATAAATACTGACACATGCATACTGTGAAGTTTCAAAGCTAATCCTTATGCCTGCATATTATATTCACAAATTATATTAGTAGAAGTTGAACATTTACGATATTTTTGTGTCTATAATTACAAAAACAATTTTTTTCCTATGGATAATATCATTAAAAGACAAAATACCTATACCATAACTTCACACCATACATACTAAAATCACATCCAGATGAACTAGAGGTAACACTTAAAAATTTTAAAAAATATTTTCTCTTCTTAAAGAGAGATTCCCCCTAATCTTTACACTGACAAATCCTCATTTAAAGCAAGTTTTAAACCTAGAAACCACTTTTTAAAAAGGAGATTGATAAATTTGTCTCAAAAACATAAAGACAAAGTGGATTAGTGGTTGCTAGAGGCTAGGTGGAAAGGAGGATGGGGAGTTACAGTACGCATGTCTTCTGGGGGTGATGAGTAGTTCTGGAATTAAACAGTGGTAATGGGTAAACAGCCTTGGAAAAATACTGAAGTCACTGAATTATACACTGTAAAATGGATTTTATGATATGTGAATTATATCTTAACAAAAACTTTCAAAGTAAGATAATCCCAGAAAATGAGAATATGAACACATAATCAAGGAAAAATATAAATCATAGTAGACCAAAAATTATACCTCATTAATCAGAGAAATGTAAAACAAAATTTAACCTATCATACTAGCACGACATTGAGGAGTAGTAATATTGCATGTTTGGTAGAATGTGGGGAAATGGAACTCTAATATTTTGATGGTGAGAGTCTACCAATTCTTTTACCCTTTAAAAGAGCAACTATGAAGATACATTCTTCCAACCATTTTCAGCTAACCTTAATTATCAATTAACATCTCAAAAAAGAGTCAATAAGATGTAAGTCAGCAGCTACAGAAATGATGGGAAAGAAAAGGGAAGTGGGTCACAAAAAGAGCTGAGACAGCCCTTTGTCTAAGGTGGACCCTGGCCTTATCACTCAATAGTATTTAACGTATTTGCCACTGAAGCATACTAAGAAAAAAGTTTTATTTGGAAAATTAAAGTGACCTAAATCTGCCTTGAAGAACAATTAAAAAACAATTGGCCTCTTCCACCTCCAACAGTTTACAACAAATTTTAAAACAACATTTTAAAATAACTTGCCTTACTTAAATCATTTCTCCTGTGTGTCAGAAATTATTCACATATTCAAGAGTCAAAAATAATGAAACTCACCTGTCCAATAACTTTGAGTTTAATGTATTCTCCTTCCTTCTTATCACCCAAGTCCTCAGTTGAAGGTTTGGCCTCCTGAAAAAAAAAAAAAAAAAGTACTTTTAGAGATAAAAGTTCCTATATGCTATTTTTATTACTCTCTTATGAGCATTCATTACTTCAGCTCCCAGTACAAAATCTGCACCTGAGAATATAAAGATCATTTATTTTCTCGGCTGGTCAATTAAGCAAAAAAGATCGTAAGTAAATTTTTGGCCCAAACACCAGTTCACTAGAACTCGAGAGAGGTCTCTTTTATTATACTATCCTACAGAAATGGTGGTAAAATTTCACTGTCCATCAGAATCACCTAAAAGACCTGTTAAGACTCCCAGTTTATTCTGTGGGTCTGGGTTGGCCTATAATTTGCATTTCTAACAAGTTACCAGGTGGTGTTCCTGCTGCTCATGCAGGGGGACAGAGGGACAACCTGGAGACCATTAGCCAACAGTCAAGTCCTATTAGTCAAAGGAAACTCACACTCCATGAATTCTTAACCAAACACTACTGCAAAATTATCTTCTCACAGCCTTTTGGGAGAAGTTAACTACTCCAGTTATAAAACTGTACTAAGAAATGTAAATTAATCATATCAGCATAAGCAGTCTATTTAGCAAGGATTTAAGAAGAAAAATCAAATAGCAAAGTATTGCCTAATGCATCCCAGAGTCAAAACAAACCAGTTTTGTATTATCTATTATTTTAGACATCTGAAGCAATATATCCAATTTTAGATTAGGCTTGGCTGAAAAAAAAAAAGAGAGAGGAATTTCAACTGAAATAAGAAAAAAAGTACAAACATGCTAAGCAGGAAAAGGAAAGAGGAAACAAAATTGGAAAACAGAAGAGGGTCATAAAATACTTTCAAATGAAGGGATACTGAAAAGAAAATGAAATTAACAGAATAAATTATTTCAAACCACTCTGTCATGAAGGAAAAGTTAAGCCATTTTTAGTAAAGGAGATAGGCTAGAAATTTTCACTTGGCCATCAAATTATCCATTTATTTAAATATATACTCTATTATTCACAACAATTTCAAATTGTAAATCCATGCTTGATAAGAATATAACTGATGATGTTGTATTTTATAAGTAAAATCACAGGGCCACTACCTGTGTATCTCATACCAATAACAAAACTAGTAAGCAAGTTATTTAATACTCAAAATTTAACAAAACCTCTTAAATTAGGAGTACCTTTTAACATGAACATACAGGTTAGGGTCTAGGGAAATGCTTAGATTAACAGAATTGGCTTCCTTAGTGTGAATTTTTGCCTGCTTTTCATTCTGCAGAACTTTCAACATTTGCTGACTCCTGCATATTACAGCAGCAGGCAAAATTAACCTTCTTTAGTGAAACAGTATTTCACATGAAAACAAGAAGACTCTTCAAAAAATAGCCTCAATACCGTATTTCCATGAATTTGTATTCATAGTAAAACAGTTGCTTCTCCCTTTAAGTTTTTCTACAGAGGGAGAGGAAAGCTTTCTCTATACAGTGAAGGGCAAAAAAAAGCAACAAAGCCCTGAGTTCTCTCTAACTGGGAGGAGTTTTAGTAAAGAAGCTTTGTCTGAGTTATCACAAAGAATCATCCACCCCCAAGCCCTGCAGCAATACATCAGCACAATAGGGTGATTCTGCTCCAGTATTTCCTAGATAGGATAGCTATAGAGGCTGCTCAGGACAAGAGCTCTTTCCCTTCCATCATCCACACTGGTTCAGAAAACTCTTTTTAAAAGCACAGCTTCTCTTACCGTATAACTACCCTGATCAAAAAGTATTAGTAGCTGCCAGTACTTTAAGGTCTAGCACCAAACCCCAAAGCACTCCAGTGAGTTCCTCCATTACCAAGCCCAACTCTCATTTTTCTCTTACCAGTTTCTTTTTATTTTATTTTTTCTTCTTACCACTTTCCTTGTAAACCTAGAGTGCAGTTTTCCTTAACAGAACCTAAGGATTCTGTTAAAATTGGACTATTTACTGTTCCCCAAATATGCCCATTAGCAGTTTTCCACCTTGGTGGTCTCTGATTCCCTGACCAGGATTATACCTCCTCCCTCAGCCTCTCCTGAAATCCTCTCAGAAATCCAGGCCAAGTATCATCTAAAGACCAGTACTTAAAACACTCTTCTAGGAATCACAGCACTTCTCAGCCTTCCAAATGAGATTACCATAATATTTTCCTTTAATGCTCCTATTGCAATGTATTCATACCTTTTACAGCATTTATTCTCAATTTAAAAATACTCCATCTCAACTGGCTTCTCTAATTATTGTCCTCTTTTTCATCAGACTTCTTACAAGAGTACTCAGCATTTGCTATCTCCATTGTCACTCTCAACCCACTGTAATCTGGTTTATTCCTCACCATTCCAATCGACATTGCTCTCACCAAGATTACTAGTTCAATTCCTTACTGCTAAATCAATGGACGATTTCAAATCTCATCTTCGACTCTCTAAATACAACAAACGCTTCATCCTTGATGACTTCCTTAAGTCTCCACAAGTCTCCACAAGTCTCCACCTTTGACCTCCCAGATTCCATTCTCTCTTCGTCTTGGCCATTTCCTTAAATACTCGTGGCTCCTCTGGATTCCATGTCTTCAACTGTCTGCTTCTTTGTCTCATGTATCTCCCCGCAGGCCAAGTTCCTATTGGTATGCCTTACTCTTCTTTGCATTTCTAGTCAAGTATAGTGCCTGGAACTTTGAAGACATTCAATATGTTTGTTAAATAAATTAATGTTTTCTGTGACCAATTTGTATGTCTTGTGTTCACTATAAGTTTACAAGGAGAGAATCCAAGTTTTCATCTTTATGATCTCTACAGTATCAGGCAAATACTAGGCAATTGTTTAATGTTGTTGAATTAAGTTGACGGTACTATTTTCTGTATTGTACCACAAAATTTTACTAATGCTTCACACTTCTACTATATTCAATAGTCCAAACAAAAACACTTCCAGTTTTGTTTTGGCTTTTTTTGGGGGGAGGGAGTAGGATTTTTAAAATTTTGTTGTTAGAGTACAGTTTTCTACCTATTACCCCATCCCACCCACCCCCTACTTTTAGTTTTTTATATTCACAGTTGGGTAAGAGATAATTCACTTCAATTTCCTAAGAACACATAAAGACTAGGAAATTTCCAAAAACAAGCTGCCAATTTCTCTACTCACTCCATTTTGAAAATCTCCCAACTCTGCAGCACTAGAGCAGTGTCATCTGTACCACTTGTTTAATAGCCCCGTGTCTGTCTATGCAGTCATCTAACTTTTCATATGCTCTTTTTTCCTTTTAACAAACTAGTCTGGAAAATGAGATGATCTTGGACAAAAAAGGCCACAGTTTGTCTTCAGCGATCTCAGTGTCTTTTGTATGCTGCCCTTCCTTCTCTCCCCTGTAAAAAAGCAGCCAATACAGAATGGTATGGCACACCAGCTACAAAACAGTGAAAGCATTCAACACTGGGTCCGGGACACTAGGTCATCAGAGAAAAGAGAATCCCAGAGAGGGCTGGTTGGTTTGGCTGTAAAGGATACACAGCCCCAAAGCAGAAGAAACTGGCAATGGAAAGAAAAGTAAATGTATGTGCAAGATCAAAGAGAAGAACTAGAAAGCTTCACATTTTCAGGTACCCGTCACCCACAGACAAATCATGTTAAATGGATTGGTAAAGGAATTTATCAAGCACCGAGCACTACCAACTCTTCTTTCGAAGACACAGAAGGAACAGCTCGGAAATATAAGATGGCTAAGGATCTGAAAAGAGAACTTGACTGGAAAGGAGAGAAGACACACAGCCTCATTTACAAATGTTAAAAATTCATGAGAAGGACTTCACTGTGCAATTTCAAAGTCAAAAGAATAAGAAGTCTGCTCACAGGCACACCGGCAATCAGTATGTGGACAATTCAATCAACTGGAAAGAGCATCACACTTTACCCCCAATCTGTCACTGACAATTCAAGGGTTGTTCATCCTTCTGTAAGAGGGGACAGCTCTGAGGGGGGTCCGAACAAAGAATACATTTACTCTATTTGATGACATTAACAAATCTGTTCTTTTAAAAAATTTTTTTATTATTGTGTTTTTTCTATTACCATTTTTTTCATTATTCAAGGTGTGATAACAGTATCCTGGCTTTATTAAAAGAAAAAGCCCACTTTTAGAGATATATATTAGTATTTATAGATAAAATAATGTGATGTCTAGGACTGGCTTCAAAATAATATGAAGGTAATAATAATAACAAGTGGAATGGGGCAGTGTAGACAAAGTAAGATAGGACAAGAGATGAGTCTATGGATACAATTATACATACTTTAAAATTTTCCATAATAAAACATTTCATAAAAAAAATGCAAAGTTTCCCAAAATTCTGATAACCATAGGTCTTATTATAATACATCAGCTTATTTCATTTTATTTCCTAATGAAGAAAACCCAACAAGAGTTAAACTGAATAATTCTAATTATCCATTATTAAAAGATAAAAACCCCAAAAGTACAATAGTCATCTTCCTCACAGTTCAGTAGACATAACACTATTCTAAAAACACAAAAATAGATATATACCTTTATTTTTATGCTGCATATGTTCAAACTTAATGAGAGTACTAGAGATTGAAATGGAACTGACCAGATTTAGCTCCATAACTTCAAGGTTTAAGTAAAGCTGTGAAGATACTTGGGTATGCTGGAAATTTACATGCAACCCTAGAATTGTGGTTAGATGCTAGATATGCACAGACATCACAGAAACAAAAATTATAACTGAAAATTGTACTGGTTTTGTAAAAATCTCCTCTTTGAGCCTTGACTCTGCAAAACCTGGAACAAATTGGCTTAACTGTACCCAAAAGTACTAGCAAACAGATTTAGAGGTATGGCAGATTTTGTTAATAACCTACCCAATATGCATTTTCTTGCATATTCTTCTTCTTTACAAAGGGAAACCTAAATCTGGCCAGCTAAAAAACATATTTCTCAGTTTTTTAATGGCCATGTGATACAATGCTGGCAATGAGATA